CAGAAAACAAAAGTTTTCCCTGAGAATGCAAAACCTCAAGACACCACTTATACAGTTCTGAATGTACAATAAATGCACAGCCTGGGAATCACCACGCCCAACCCAATAAATTATTTATAAAAATTGACATTAAGCTGTGATTTCCTCTGTCTCAATAGGAAGAGGCAAACACAATTATGAACTTTACCAAAATTTTAAAATGTTGCTCTTGCAAAGACACCATCAAGAAAAAGAAATGGCAAGGTAATAGACTGGGAGAAAATACCTGCAAAACATGTGTCTGAAAAAAGACTTGTACTTGTATCCTGAAAAGAATAATTACATCTCAGTAATAGAAAACAAATCAATTAAAATGGGGAAATGATTTGAATAGATGCTTCACTAAAGAAGATATACAAACAGAAGACTATATCTGTTTTTTTCCTTTTTATGGCAAACTACAACATGAATTTTCCTGACAAATACAACATGAGTGGGTCTCAAAAGCATTGCACTAAGTGACAGCAGCCAGTTAGGCACGCTACACACTGCATGATTCCATTCATATGAAATTCTAGAAAAGGGGAAACTACAGTGACCAAAAACAAATCAGTGATTGTCAAAAGCTAGAGATAAGGGTTGGACGGGGCTGTTTTGTATGGTGACTGTGGTTATGATTACATAACTGTGAATTTGTTAAAACTCATTGAATTGAATGTTTAAAATGGGTAGATTTTATCATATGTAAATTATACCTCAATAAAGCTTATTGTTAAAAAACTCATGGTCTCTTACTGGACAGAGCTAAAAATATGTAAACACAGTTTTCTGTACCCTTTGGCCATAAACAACAGCTGTGTGACAATGGACAATTTACCTTCTTTGGGTCTCGTCTCCTCAGGTGTAATGTGGGGATAATAACAGAATATCACATATTGTTATGAGGACCAAATTAAACAACACAGTATATATAAAGCACTTTGCACTGTGCCTAGCAGGCTATCCAATCACCAATACAGGGACACTTTCTTTTCTTTTTTGTGTAATTTAAAAAATACTTTTATAAAAATTAGAAACAAGATCTTGCTATGTTGTCCAGGCGGGTCTCAAACCCCTGAGCTCAAGCAGTCCTCCCATCTCAGCCTCCCAAAGTGCTGGGATTACAGGCATGAGCCACCCTGTGCCTCGCCCTCAGGGACACTTTCTAGGCCTCTTGCCTTTGTTCAGACTCACTTAAGAGCCTTCTCAACAGCCTCAAAACTCATTCGATGACCTCCTGGTCTGGGTTGGCTTCCCTCATAGTTTCCTTGCAGGGAGATTTCCCTAGGAGGGCCCAGTTGCCTGGGTAATCATTTTGTTGTTGTTTGTTTGTTTTGTAGGGTTTTTGTTTTTGTTTTTGAAACGGAGTCTCGCTCTGTCACCCAGGCTGCAGTGTGCAGTGGCGCGATCTCGGCTCACTGCAACCTCTGCCTCCCAGGTTCAAGCAGTCCTCCCACATCAGTCTCCCGAGTAACTACCAGTTGCCTGGATGATTTAATTTCAGAATGTTGACATCGCATTCTGGGCTATAATTTAACCTTGCATGAATTTGGTTTGTATGGGTTGCCCTCCCATAGCCTGTCTTCTCTGGGACACTGAGAAGATCATACATCTAGACTTGCAAGGCTAAGAACCTGACTCCCTAGATTGTGTGGAACAAGAGAGGCCCAGCTGAGTAGATTCTCCCTTGGCATCATTTCTGGATCACTGTGGTCTAGCGGTAATACAAGATGGTAGCAGTAACTGTCCGAGGGCTGACCTACACATTACTTTTGGTCTTTAAAAGTATTTTTGGGTACAAGAAGAACAGTTTACCTTGCTTGGGACACACACACACACACACACACACACATACACACACACACACACGAAAAAGAGAGAGAAAGAGAAACCCTAAATAAATATGATTTCATTTTCTTGAAGAAACTGTTCAGCATTGGAATAGGCATAACTCTGGATTCTTTTGAGTGGCGATTCTGTTTTATACATGATTTTCTCTTTTTCTGTTCCATGGGGAATTCCTTACCTTGAAGTGAAATGGACATTTTGGTTGAATTCTCATTCTCAGTGACAGCAAGTAGGAAAGAGAGAATACGTTCTCTACTGGTGTTTCCCACTCATTTGCGTAACTTGGCACATACACAATGGAATGCAGCAGTATGGTGGGGAAGCTGCTGGGGCCCCATAGCCTTGCCAAGGGTGTCGATGATTTAGGCTCACTGTAACCACTTCTGGGCACACCAGGATTCCCCTGTGCACCAGTAGGTTGCTCTGGCTCCAGGAGCAATAGCTACAAAAGAAGCAATTGCTAATTAGGAAGGAATCCTGTTCTCCATGCAGGCAGGTTGCAATCCTAACTCTGTAGCAAGAAAGAAACCTTCAGGTTCATCCAGACAGGTCAGTATGAACCTGTGACCACGTTTCTAGACAGTTTTCATGAAAGTGAACAGATACCACTGCTGAATTTATCTGTGCTCCTTGGACACTGGCTTTTTGTCCAAGGTTTTACCCTGAATTCATGAATCTAGGAGAAAATCTGGATCTAGGGGCATGCCGTTGATGATTTTTTATCCATTCTTTATCCCTTTTTGACTGTCTGTCCAAGGTACTTCGGTAGCAGAAACAGGACATATTATACATTATTTCTTAGCAATTGTAAAGCTAGAAGAATAATTTTTATCTGTCTACATATCTCACAGGTTTGTTGTGAGACTAAATGAAGCATTGGAACCATACCTGTTACATAGTAAATACTATGTAATTGGTTGCCATTACTATTTACATGTTCACATTCTGAGAACTAAGTATTTATGACGTTAAGAAAAAGTCAAAATGTTGCTTGCCAAATTCATTTTAACGGACTGTGACTTTTGTAGGAAAGGTGGTGTCAAAATATCTGGGAATTTTGCCAGTGCAACCATCAGTAATAAATTATAAAATCAGATAACAGAATCAGGGAATTGGGAATCTGGAGAGGAAAGCCCAACACTTTTCCTTTTCTAGATGGAAAAAAAGGAGATCCAGAGATAGCAAGCCGCAACAACAAATCTGAAATCACAACTAAGAGCTCACAGTTCTTGTCTAGAGCTCTTCTCCAGAATGCTATGGCCTAGACAAAAAAAAAAAAAAAAAAAAAAAAAAAAAGACTTAAAAAAATAAAGTGCTGACAGGGCACGGTGGCTCACGCCTGTAATCTCAGTACTTTATAGACTGGGGCAGGCTGATCACCTGAGGTCAGGGGTTCGAGGCCAGCCTGGTTCCAACATGGCAAAACCCCGTCTTTACTAAAAATACAAAAATTAGCCAGGCATGGTGGTGGGTGCCTGTAATCCCACCTACCCAGGAGGCTGAGGCGGGATAATTGCTTGAACCTGGGAGGCGGAGGTTGCAGTGAGCCAAGATTGTGCCATTGGACTCCAGCCTGGGCGACAGAGCGAGGCTCCGTCTCAATAAATAAATAAATAAATAAATAAATAAATAAATAAGTGCTTCAGAGAAGCTAAATGCTCTACCAACAAGAGCACTATATTTGGGCAAATGAAGTCAGAATCTGCTTATCAGTTCCTCTAATGGAAGCGACAACCAGCACAAGCAAAATCCCTTACGATTTGGAAGATAAAACAACCCAGTGCTCACCAGATCTCCTGTTATTCCTGATGGAACCCTCCCAGCTATTACACCTTGGAAAAATATTAACATGTTCAGCCAACAAGGACAAATTTTAAAGCAAAGAAAGCAAGTGATACTGTATGTTGCAATGCCACCCAATATTCAAATTGTACCCTCCTGAGCTGTGTCTAATGTCAGCATCATTTTTTTAAAGAGACATATCAGTTTCCGTCAAGGTTTTTATTTCACTTTCCCCATTCTTCACTGCCTGAACTAGGGCAAAAGAAAGGAAGAATTACCAGCTACATTACTTTTTAATTTAATGCCCTTGAGTAAGGGCAGTAGCAGCGAGGCATAATAGAGATTTCAGGGGGACGGCAAAGGGAGAACAGTTGTTCGCACAACCTCTTCCATGGATGCTGGTTGCAGCAGCTGTCTCTGCCATCATTCTTGCAAGGTAATGCCTTGCTTCCCATTGTCATTGTATCTCAGAATCAAATTATTTGAATTCCAGACACATCGACAGCACACTGAAGGGCCCCTGCCAATTTTTGCAGCTCGCTTGGAAAAGAGCATCATGAAGCATTACTCATTTATACGACTCCCAGGCTCCTGTTGTAAATCCAGCGTGCAGGACTGCCTCCAGGTGCACCCCTTCAGCTCAGCTCTCTAATCCTGTAACCCTTTAGAAGAAGCTGGTGCACCGCATCCCCGTGCCAGGCCTTCCCCCTCTTGAAGCCTGTGTTTGGTGGGTGGAGTCCTGGCTGCCAGAGCTGACCTGGAGACAGAAACCAGCTAATTCTTCTGTCAGGTCTAGGGGTGAAAAACCCCAGGCACAATACAGTGAGTTGTCCTCACAGCTACCCCTCCAACATTTTCATACAGGCGAAGTCTGGTTAAAATCCACATCTGTCCTACAATAGTGAAGTTGCTGATAATAGCACATCTCTTGTCGGAAGATGAGGGATCTAGTTAGCAAAAGTGTTTATGAAGAATTTTTCTATCACTTAGAAAAAAACTCACAAAATAAATGAAAAAAGAATATGTGTAGCATAATCTCAAATGTTATATATGTTTTAAATACACATGTAAGTATACACATACAAACATATATATGTATATACATTATATTTAGAGAGATATAGATATTTTTTGAGACAGGGTCTCGCTGTGTTGCCCAGGCTGAAGTACAGTGACACAATCATGACTCACTGCAGCCTAGGTTGCTCCCCAGGCTCAAGTGATCCTCCCATTTCAGCCTCCCAAGTAACTGGCACTACAGGCATGCACCACCACACCCAGCTAATTTTTTTTTTTTTGTAGAGAGAGGGTTTCACCATGTTTTCCAGGCTGATCTTGAACTCTTGGGCTCAAGCAATCTGTCTGCATTGGCCTCCCAAAGTGCTGGAATTGCAGGCGTGAGCCACCATGCACCCAGCCACAAACATTTAACTAGAAGAAAAAACAACAAAAATGGACAGTGATTATTTTATTTTTCTTCTTTACTTTTTTCTATATTTTTCTAAAACAAGCAGGTACTACTTGTCAGGAAAATAAATGCTGTTTATAAAGATAATGTCCATCAAGAGTGTTTTAAACGAAGAACTGTTTTCAAAAGATTCTCTACACAGTCAGTTTTTATCCCCAGCCTGGTAAGTGAAGGGCCCCCATCCACTGTCCCCTGGTTAGAAGAGTTTTCCCAAGGGTTTCTTTTAACACGAGTCTGGGGTTAGGAGAATTTTGTCCAGCAGGAACAAGAGTGACCTTATTAGTCCAGTCAGATTCTCTTACTAATTGAGCTACACAGAGATCAGTAGTAAAGGCAGAAAAGGAAAGGAAAGGGAAAGGAGGAGGGAGAGGATGGGTTATTTGAATGGCTGGAGTGCAGACTACTGGGGAGGGGATAAAGAAGCTTTATATTCACATAATAGCTGGAGCTGCCTTAGACCCTGGACAAGCTTCCAATTCCAGGATTCTATGCCATGCAGGTCCATAGTTCCTATTTTTCCCGTGAAGACTTGGTAATTGGTCTTCCTGGCAGATCCACGGCCAAGAATCCTGTTTTCCTTGGTCCCACAGGTAACCTTTTAACAATCTATCTGGTGGCCCATTAAAATTCCCTTCTGGGTCGGACTATATTTGGATTATTTGAACCAGCTGAGCAATTTCAGGATATGAAGAGCTTGAGACCAGGCAGGTAAGTTCCACGGGTAATTTCATTCTTTATTTAGTACACTACCCAAACCAGGGCTATCATCAGCCTATATGGCATTTCGTACAAATTTGAAAACGCTATTCTTTCCTCAAGTTAAAAAGTTAAATTATTTATTTCTCAATAATAACAATGACTAATGACAGTAATTCCATGTAAATTAGGTAAGCAAATAATTAGTTATAAAATATTGAAAAAGGCCGGGCGCGGTGGCTCAAGCCTGTAATCCCAGCACTTTGGGAGGCCGAGGCGGGTGGATCACGAGGTCAGGAGATCGAGACTATCCTGGCTAACATGGTGAAACCCCGTCTCTACTAAAAATACAAAAAACTAGCCGGGCGTGGTGGCGGGTGCCTGTAGTCTCAGCTACTCGGGAGGCTGAGGCGGGAGAATGGCGTGAACCCGGGAGGCGGAGCTTGCAGTGAGCCGAGATCACGCCACTGCACTCCAGCCTGGGAGACACAGCGAGACTCCGTCTCAAAAAAAAAAAAAAAAAAAAAAAAAAAAAAAATTGAAAAATTCAAACGATTCATTATCATATTAAGAACTCAAAGTCACTTGGATCTAATAATTTGTTGTAAAGAAGGCATCCTTGTGGATGTAAAATTCTGTTTGACAGTTTCGATGCTTACTTGTTTTATAGCTCATATTTTACGGAAGTGATCATCAGATTGGTAGACTTTTCTTATTGAGTGTAGGCCTTACGTTGGTTGGTTTGTTTTGTTTCTGATACAGGGTCTTGCTCTGTCCCCAGGCTGCAATGCAGTGGCACAATCACGGCTCATTGCAGGCTTGACCTACTGGGCTCAAGAGATCCTCCCACCTCAGCCTCCCAGGTAGCTGGGATTACAGGTGTGCACCACCAGAACCAGTTTTTTGTTTGTTTGTTTGTTTGTTTTAGATGGGTTTTTGTAGAGACACGTTTGCTCAGGCTGGTCTTAAACTCTTGAGCTCAAACAATTTGCCCGCCTGTCTCCCAAAGTGCTGGGATTACAGGCGTGAGCTCACGGCACCTGGCCTACATTGGTTATAACATATTTCAATTGTTTGTTTGTTTGTTTATAGAGACGGGGTCTCTCTGTGTTGCCTGACTGGATATGAACTTCTGGTCTCAAGTGATCCTCCCCTCTCTGCCTCCCCAGTAACTGGGACTGCTGGCACACGACACTGTACCCAGCTTAATATATTTAATTTTGATAAGCCACATTCTCCACTGATATTGCTATTGGCAAAATTAGTTGTATCTTGAAAGGCACAAAGTTATTTGGAAATGGATCTAGTAAGTTATTTTAACAAAGACTTTGCAATATTTTAGTGAAAGAACATTAGATTTTAAAAGACAACTTCAGGTTTTTAGGGTTTCATACGTTGATGAATGATCTATAAAAGTCTTTAATACGCTTGTCAGTCAATTTCTTTTTTTTTGTTTTTGTTTTTGAGAGGGATCTGTCGCTCAGGCTGGAGTGCAGTGGCGCGATCTTGGCTCACTACAAGCTCTGCCTCCCGGGTTCATGCCATTCTCCTGCCTCAGCCTCCCGATTAGCTGGGACAACAGGTGCCTGTCACCAAGCCCGGCTAATTTTTTGTATTTTTAGTGGAGATGAGGTTTCACCATGTTAGCCAGATGGTCTTGATCTCCTGACCTCGTGATCTGCCCGCCTCGGCCTCCCAAAGTGCTGGGATTACAGACATGAGCCACCGCACCTGGCCAACAATCAATTTCAATTATACATTTTTAACACAGCCTTGGTGCTTCATATTTACAGCAATTCTTCAAATCACATGAGATATCTGGAACCTTGCTACTCCACATATCCAGCATCAGAGCATCTTCAGGGGCTTGTTAGGAATGCAGAATTTCAGGTCCCAACCCAGAGGTACTGAATCCGAACTTGCATTTTAATAAGATCCCCCATGTTCTATATGCACAGGAACATTTGAGAAATACTAATCTAAGACACAGAAAAGACCATGTATTCCTTCTGCAATATAAATCTTTCCTTTTAAGAAAATATGACTGTAACCAATATAGAGAAAAATAGAAATAAATTTGGGATCACAGGTGGATTGACTGTAGAAATGACATTTGAAATTAATCTTCCTGGCTGGGTGCAGTGGCTCACACCTGTAATCCCAGCACTTTGGGAGGCTGAGGCAAGCGGATTTTCACCTGAGGTCAGGAGTTCAAGACCAGCCTGGCCAACATGGTAAACTCCATCTCTACTAAGAATACGAAAATTAGCTGGGTTTGGTGGTGCACTCCTGTAATCCCAGCTACTCGGGAGGCTGAGGTGGAAGAATCCCTTGAGCCCAGTAAGCCCAGATTGCGCCACTGCACTCCACCCTAGGTGACAGAGTGAGACTGGGTCTCAAAAAAAAAAAAAAAAAAAGAAAGGAAAAAAATAAATTAATCCTCCTCTTCTTTCCAGTATTTTTATATTGGAGAAATTGGGCTTAATGTTGAGAAACCCTGCAATTTGTTTATCAGTAATAATATCTTTGTGTGAATATCGTAAGTTAACTTTTCATTAAAACATTTTCTAAGCCCATAATGTTATGCTTTCAAGGGAATTATATATATTGACTTTGGGTTCCTGTCTAATTTTGCGTATAACATTAACTTTATCTTTACTCCTAATTTGTGCTGAATAATGCATTTTAAAGAAGATATTTTCAGTATACTTCTGACTTGCATTTTAGAATCTACATTTTTATTCATATCATCAACATGCATTGCATACTCTCTCTAATGAAGTTTTAGTAGCAAGACGGCATCTACTCAAGTTTCCCATCCTATATTCAACAATGATTTAAAATTTTATGTTCCATAAATGCCTTTACAATATATTCCAACATTTAGTTGAAGCAAAAAGAGTTAATTATATCATATTTACAAGAAAAAAACAAACAACCCCATTGAAAAGTGGGCAAAGGATATGAACAGACACTTCTCAAAAAAAGACATTGATGCATCCAACAAACATATGAAGGAAAGCTCAACATCACTGATCATCAGAGAAATGCAAATCAAAACCAAAATGAGATACTATTTCACACCAGTCAGAATGGCAATTACTAAAAAGTCAGGAAACATGTGCTGGTGAGGCTATGGAGAAATAGGAATGCTTTTACACTGTTGATGGGAATGTAGATTCATTTGACCATGGTGGAAGACAGTATGGCGATTCCTCAAGGATCTAGAACCAGAAACACAATTTGACCCAGCAATCCCTTTACTGGGTATATATCCAAAGGAATGTAAATCATTCTGCTATAAAGACACATGCACACGTATGTTTACTGCAACACTATTTACAATAGCAAAGACATGGAACCAACACAAATGCCCATTAATGAGAGACTGGATAAAGAAAATGGGGTACATATACACTATGGGATACTATGCAGCCGTGAAAAGGAATGAGATCATGTCCTTTGCAGGAATATGGATGAAGCTGGAAGCCATCATTCTCAGCAAACTAACACAGGAACAGAAAACCAAACACCACATGTTCTCACTCATAAGTAGGAGTTGAACATTGAGAACACATGGACACAGAGAGGGGAACGATACACACCAGGGCCTGTTTGAGGGTGGAGGGTGAGGGGAGGGAACTTAGAGGACGGGTCAATAGGTGCAGCAAACCACCATGGCACATGTATACCTGTGTAACAAACCTACACGTTCTGCACATGTATCCCTTTTTTTTTTTTTTAGAAAAAAAAAAGAAAAAAGAAAAAAGAGTAGTTATATAATTTCTCAGATGACATAAAAAATCTAGTGCTGTAAAATAGATACTTGCTACATCATTCAATATCAAATGTAAAGACACATAACAAAAAGTATAAAATGGTCTAGAATTTTTTTTAGGATCTTCTGTTGCAATCCATTATGATTTCCACGCATACTTTTGGCATTGCTGTATGTAACTTTTCTTTACATTCAGTTTTGTAAGTAGTCTTCTAAAAGTTTTTACATGCTTTCTTTTGTTTTGTCATCTACTGGACAACCTCCCTCACCCAAACATCCACATATGAAATGCTTGCTTTTTGGAAATCCACAGTTCTAATATGTGTTCTACCTGGCTTATACCAGAGACTGTATTTAAAATAGTAAAGATAATATTTATCATTTCTCATCTTTTTCAAAATTAGTTCATTCATTACCTCTGCTATCAGTTTAACTATTTGGTTTTGTATTTTATTCCTTAAAATTGTGTAACATTATTTGGTATCAGTGTGCCATATGTTACTGAATTTTTGATAGTTTTTGCTAAGGAAGACAATTTTTCCTTCCTTCCTTCCTTCCTTCGTTTTTTCCTTCCTTCCTTCCTTCTTGCTTTCCTTTCCTTTCTTTCTTCTTTCCTTCTTTGTCTTTTTTTTTTTTTTTTTTTTTGGAGACGGAGTCTGGCTCTGTCGACCAGGCTGGAGTGCAGTGGCCGGATCTCAGCTCACTGCAAGCTCCGCCTCCCAGGTTCACGCTGTTCTCCTGCCTCAGCCTCCCGAGTAGCTGGGACTACAGGCGCCCGCCACCTCACCTGGCTAGTTTTTTGTATTTTTTTTTAGTAGAGACGGGGTTTCACTGTGTTAGCCAGGATGGTCTCGATATACTGACCTCGTGATCCACCCGTCTCGGCCTCCCAAAGTGCTGGGATTACAGGCTTGCGCCACAGCGCCCGGCCCTTTTTTTTTTTTTTTTTTTGAGACTGAGTTTCACTCTGTTGCCCAGGCTGGAGTGCTGGGCTCACTGCAACCTTCATCTCCCGAGTTCAAGAAATTCTCCTGCCTCAGCCTTCCGAGTAGCTGGGACTACAGGCACACGCCACCATGACTGGCTAATTTTGTACTTTTAGTAGAGATGGGGTTTCCTTATGTTGGCCAGGCTGGACTCAAAGTCCTGACCTCAAGTGATCCGCCCACCTTGGCCTCCCAAAGTGCTGAGATACAGGCGGGAGCCATCATGCCCCACCGGAAGACAATTTTCATCACTGCACTAGTAGTTTCCTGGATAATCCTCTCCCTAGATGTTGCTTTGTCAAAGCTGAGTCATGTATATTATGTGCACATGATATTGCTTCTCATTATCATAGCGTCTTTGTTTATCACTTAATATATTACATATATTTCAAATCTTTGAATTCTTAACACTGTTGAAGTGCATTTACCCTCTGTTTATTAGTATTATGTGATAAGTACTGCCAACCCATTCTCACATCTTTATTCTTCAGTTGATACATTTTATTCATCCCTGAAGAATTTGCAATATAGAGAAAACACAGAAACCATTAAGGTAGAATAAGGGGCGTGGTCAGTTTGTCATTAGGAAGAATTTATGAATAAGTAGTTTCTGAAAACTTCCTACCTGTACTGATAGCAGTTAAATATAACGAAAAGTTAAATTTCTTATGTATACATTTTGTAGACAAATTTCAACTGGAGTATTCTGTGGACAAAAATTCAAATTACATAGCCAAGTACCTGGATGGGGAAAAGAAAATCTAGTTTAATGTTTTCTTTTTCTCTTCCAGTTTTTCCTCAAGTTACGTCTGATGTAAATATTGAAATTAAATTCACATCCTAATTTAGCAGTTTTGCCCCCGATTTTATCTTCTTCAAAAATATATTCAGTAGTCTAATTGATTGTCTTTGATTTCCTTCCATGTTTTCTGATTCTGAAATTAATTTTAGAAACTCCTTTGTAGTATGTGAGCAAAAAAATCAATGGTATTTTATCTCGGAACTTACATGTACATAACATACAAAATATAGAACTAACAAACTGCTAAATATTATCAAGCATTAATATTTTTATTAACAGGATATGCACAAGCGATTTCCATTATAGAATTAGCCAGATCACAGTGGTAATCTCTAATTTATGTGCATGTAATTCATTTTGTGGATCATTTGCGTGTATGTCATTTGATGGTGATCAATCGAATAGTGAAAGTTCTTGTAGATTTAAATGAGGAATTCAGGAATACCTTTTGGGTGCAACGAACACAGCAGATAATGAGAAATGCAGTATGAAATATTAATTAGCCAGAGCTCTAATAACAATAGGGATTAAAACAAAATTTTAAACACTCACCTACCAATTAGATAAAGTGATTCCTTGTTTAGAAGTAAAAGTTATTTTCAGATGATGTTAGACATGTTGTTGATTTTGAATATTGACCCATTTTTCCTTTGTAAATGGACACCGAACAAAATGCAGTAAACGTCTTAAAACAAGACACTTTACTGCCATCTGCCGGGAAGTTGTAAGAAATATATAAATCATCAATCTTTCCAATAAACAAAATAAAAATAAACATATAAAAATTATCGGAATAATAAAGGGTCTCTGATGTGAACGGCACCTTGTTGAATGAGGAGTGCTTGTGCAGTGCCCAACGTAGATCACCGTGCCTAGATTTTACTATAGTTGCTTTCGATTCTCTGTCAGAGGAGAGAAATTCCAATTGGAAAAACATTCTTGAGGTCCAGTCTGGTGTTGCTCATTCATACTATTGGCAGAAAAACAGGGGAGGGGCCACAGTCTATAATTCAACTTCTGCAGAAGGCTGTCTACTCTCCCGAGTCACACTGGGAGCTGGAGATTTTCATCACTTGCCCCAGGACAGAGGGCAGAGCTGTACGTAGAATCTTCTCAAGGCTAAATCCGTTGACTCTGCAGAAAGTGGGAGGCTGGGCACGGTGGCTCACGCCTGTAATCCCAGCACTTTGGGAGGCCGAGGTGGGTGGATCACGAGGTCAGGAGATCGAGACCACGGTGAAACCCCGTCTCTATTAAAAATACAAAAAAATTAGCCGGGCGTGGTGGCGGGCGCCTGTAGTCCCAGCTACTCAGGAGGCTGAGGCAGGAGAATGGTGTGAACCTGGGAGGCGGAGCTTGCAGTGAGCCGAGATCGCGCCACTGCACTCCAGCCTGGGCGACAGAGCAAGTGGGAGAAGGGGAGGAGTTATAAACCCAGGCAAACCTTTTAAGGGAAAAAAGACTTGTCCCTTAAATTAGGGAGCTTTCAGATGAACCAGGAGGATCCCTAAACAAAAGAACTTTAAGTGGAGGTAGGGGAGGGAGCTTTACGCATTTTGATTATAATTCTTCAGTGCAAACTCACAGCTTCTTACTAGAAAACAGTGACATGAGCTCTGGCATGCTTTGCTTACAAACAATGGCCAAGAATCCATTACTATTTTCTATTCTCAGAAGACAAATTCTCAGATGGAAAGGTGATAAGACGTTACCTTTATACAACCTCAGGTACTTGAAGTCAATCTTAAATGAGTCTGTATTTCTTGTGATGCAAATAGCAAAACTTAATATTAAGCCAATAACTAATGCAGGGCTGAATGTATTCCATTACCTCAGACAGTACCTGGCCCACAAGAGGCACTATCCCAAAGTGCTAAGTGAGCAATGGTGACATAGAATTGGGGAAACCAGAGAAGGCTTCCAGGAGGAGGCGGTAGATCTTGACAAGGGGGCAGAATTGAGTTAGATCTCGACAAAGGAGCAGAACATTAGCAGGCAGAGATAGTGACCAAAGGCCACCCAGGTGTAGATAGCCCTATGAAAAGCAAGACTCATAAAGCGGACAAAGAACTCAAAGCATCAAGTGGACACTGGAGACGGGAGAATGTCAGGACAGCATGGTGACAGTGTATAGTGAGGAAGCTGAGATGTGGCAGGGGCCACAGTTTTGACACTATGCATGGAAGCCAATTTGCAAGGGAGAATAATGATTGAATGGGAGAGGAGGGAAGGAAAACTGGAGAGGAGGAGGTTAGTTAAGCTACTCTCTCTCTCTCTTAACTTTTCACTAAAGTAATATATATATGTATATATTTCAAAGCACACATAAATATATATAGCTTGATGAATAACTGATTTATTTACTTGTAACAGCATAGATTAGTTTTCAGACCTACTTTTTTGAAAAGGAGTTTTAAAAGATGGTAAAAGGAGAGAAATGGGATGGTAGCTTGAGTGGAAACATTAATGTAAAGAAAATTTTAGGGCTGGGCATGGTGGCTCACACCTGTAATCCCAGCACTTTGGGAGGCCGAGGCAACTGCACTCCAGTCACCCAGGTTGGAGTGCAACGGCGCGATCTCAGCTCACTGCAACCTCTGCCTCCTAGGTTCAAGCGATTCACCTGCCTCAGCCTCCCAAGTAGATGAGATTACAGGCATCTACCACCACGCCCGGCTAATTTTTGTATTTTTTAGTAGAGACGGGGTTTCACCATGTTAGCCAGGCTGATCTCGAACTCCTGACCTTGTGATCCACCTGCCTCGGCCTCCCAAAGTGCTGAGATTACAGGCACAAGCCACTGCGCCCAGCCCATAGACAGTTAATTGTGAGCATTAACACTGACTCAGACACACTCCGTAAGGTGTTACATGGTAATTCATTTATTCCCCATAATAATGAGAAAGGCAATATTTATACACCCATTTTACAGATAAAGAAATTAGCTGTGGGACTTATGGAAGTTAACTTTTTGATGTTTCAGTTTCCTTATCTATAAAATGCTAGCTTTTAGAACATTAAGAAGGTTCATAGAGCCCATTCATTAGTTCAGCATATTTTACTGAGCCCCTACTATGTGCCAGGCACTATTCTAGGCACTGGAGAAACAGCAGGAAAAATGTTTTATTAGAAATACATTACATATATATACACACACACACACACGCACACACACATATAGTTGGTGCAAAGGTAATTGCAGTTTCAGACCATGAATTTGAAATCATTATAATTTGGCTCAAACACATCTTCATTCGTAAAAATAGGAACCATTACAATCAACACATTTTTGCCAATGAGAAATAAGTTTGTTTATTGCTGTACTGTAAAAATCTATACTTCAAGATTTGAACTCTTGGAAAGCATTCATCCTGCTGGTTGTGGAAGGGTTTTCCTTGCAACAAGTTGTCAAGTTGCTTGAAGAAGTGGTAGTCAGTTGGCCAGAGGTTAGGTGAATATGGCCGATAAGGCAAAACTTGTAGCCCAATTCCTTCAACTTTTGAAGTGTTGGTTGCGCGACGTAGGGTTGGGCGTTGTCGTGGAGAGGAATTGGCTCTTTCTGTTGACCCATGCGGGCTGCAGGCATTGCAGTTTCCGGTGCATCTCATCGATTTGCTAAGCATACTTCTCAGATGTAATGGTTTCGCTGGGATTCAGAAAGCTGTAGTGGATCAGACCAGCAGCAGCCCACCAAACAGTGACCATGACCTTTTTTTTTGGTGCGAGTTTGGCTTTGGGAAGAGCTTTGGAGCTTCTTTTTTTTCTGGGGTCCCAATCACCGGAGGCTGGTCATCCCCGGTTCTCTGGTTGGTTGTACTAGAAATCCACACTTACTATCCGGCACTGCACTCCACCTGGTACAGAGCAACTCGTCAAAAAAAAAAAAAAAAAAAAAAAAATCCACTTTCTGTCGCACATCACAATCCGATTGAAAAATGGTTTATTGCTGTTGCGTAGAATAAACGAAGATGACACTTCAAAACGATGATTTTTAAACTTTTGCTGAGCTCATGAGGCACCCACTTACCGAGCTTTTTCATCTTTCCAATTTGCTTTCAGTGCCGAACGACAGTACAATGGTCGACACTGAGTTTTCCGGCAACTTCTTGTGCAGTTGTAAGAGGATCAGCTTCAATGATTGCTCTCAGTTGGTCGTTGTCACCTTCTGCCGGCTGGCCACTACACTGCTCATCTTCAAGGCTCTTGTCTCCTTTGCAGAACTTCTTGCACCACCACTGCACTGTATGTTGGTTAGCAGTTCCCGGGCCAAATGCATTGCTGATGTTGCATGTTGTCTCTGCTTCCTTACAACCCATTTTGAACTCAAATAAGAAAACCACTCGAATTTGCTTTTTGTCTAACATCATTTCCATAGTCTAAAATAAACATAAATAAACAGTAAGTAATAAGTCATTAGCAAAAAAACATAAAGCGAGAAATGCCCATTAAAATGATGTATAAGATAACCACATTTATTTACATTCTTAAATGTAAATAATTTAAGAATTATGTTCTTAACTTTATCTTTTCTTGCCTTATGTTTTATCCCAATATCAAACGGCAAATTCTAACAGCGCAAAAACCACAATTACTTTTGTAACAACCTAATATCTCTATATATACACATAAATAATTTGCTATATAATTTGATTTTTTTTTTTTTTTTTTTTGAGACAGAGTCTTGCTCTGTCACCCAGGCTGGAGTGCAGTGGTGCAATCTCCACTCACTGCAACCTCTGCCTCCTGGGTTCAAGAGATTCTCCTGCCTCAGCCTCCTGAGTAGCTGGGATTATAGGCATGCACCACCACGCTTGGCTAATTTTTGTATTTTTAGTAAAGACGGTGTTTTGCCATGTTCACCAGGCTGGTCTCAAACTCCTGACCTCAGGTGATCCACCTGCCCCAGCCTCCCAAGGTGCTGGGATTACAGGTGTGAGCCACCACGCCCGGCCTAATTTGATTTTTTAAAAGCCCAAATATAAGCTTCATATTTATTTCTGCAAAATTCTCTACTGGACTACACAGTGTCAATTACAGCCTAAACTTCAGCTGAAAAGCTAGAGTCTTCAGAGATTCCCCCAGGGGCCATGGAGGATGGGCTGTGGAGGGTCCCTGATTTCCTCTGCTCTTCCAGAGAAGAGCCACCTGCTAGTCCTCTCCCACTGAGAAAGAGAGAGATTGGGCTTCCATGGAGGGCAGAAGGCAGAGGGGCCACAAGAGATAACTTCCTGAGCACCTCCGTCTCTAACTTCCTTCCTACATTGTCCTCTCTGAGCCTCATACAGCCAGGAGTGGTGAGTCAAGCAGGTGCTATTGTGCCTGATTCACAAGAGAAGGTACTGAGTTATAACAAGGTGAAGGGTCAATTTCTAGGTGCTTCTCAAACTGTAATGAACATGGGGATCACCTGAGGATCTTGCTAAACTGCAGATTCTGATTCAGTGGTTTAGGTGTGGGACCTAAGATTCTGTATTACTAAGAAACTCTCAGGTGATGCTGGAGACCACGAGCCTCTCTGTGAAACAGCAGGTGAGGTGCTTTAGGGCCAGTTCTCTGGATAGAGGTGGGAGTTGCAATCACGTTGCCCCTAGCTCCTCCTGCTGCTACATTTGGCCACTCCTATTTGGAAGCTGGGAGAGGATTATCCTATTGCAGTCCTGTGTCTAGAAGGGGAAGGTAATTCATGTCCCCTGCTCCTTCCCCAGGCAGAACTCAGAGTTCTTTGTGTCTTGTCTGCTCCTCAGCTGAACTTTTTGGCTCTTTCTTTTTCTAAACTTGAATCATCACAATAACAAATACAACAGCAAGAAAATAGCATTGACTCCTATTGGAGTCCTGTATACCTGGGATCACCTGATTTTAAATCGGGCTCAGGTGAGGCAACTTGGTATCATGGAAAGCTTTTAGTCTCTAGAGTTAGACACCTGGGTCCAAATCCTGGTTCTGCCTCTTACAAAATATAAATAGAAGGAAAATATACTTAATTTCTTGGCTGGGTGCAGTGGCTCATGCCTGTAAGCCCAGCACATTAGGAGGCTGAGGCTGGTGGATCATTTAAGTCCAGGAGTTCAAGACCAGTCTGTCCAACATGGCGAAACCCCGTCTCTACTAAAAATACAAAAATTAGCCGGGTGTGATAGTGCATGCCTGTAGTCCCAGCTACTCGGGAGACTGATGCATGAGAACGCTTGAGCCTGGTAGGTGGAGGTTGCAGTGAGCTGAGATCGCACCACTGCACTCCAGCCTGGATGAGAGAGCGAGACTTTGTCTCTAGATAAATAATAAATTGGGCTCGGCTAAAGTGGCAGACTTCCATCCTGACCTTTACTCTGCCCAATAACCCTACCGGAGGGCAGCCCATTTCAGGTTATCCTGCAGTATCACCAGAAGCATTATGCTCAGTCTGCAATTCCAAGTTATTCCAAAGGTAAGTCAGTCTGATGTTCTGGGAAGAGAAACTGAAAAGCCAGCACTTAGGGGAACTTTGGCCTCCAGGGCATCCCTGTATTCAGTGATGGGTGGCATGGTGGGGCGGTGGGGGATGATGGGAACTCAGTTGGGTCTGAGGACAGAACCTCCCTACCCCTTAAGGTTAAGATAACCAGAACAGAACACTGCCAGCCAACATATGCTGCCAAATCTCCTTTCCCAGGCAGCCCACACCAACCTCTTCCTGGAGTCAATGTTTCCTATGGAGAATGGATTAAATAAGAATCTCCTTGAATTCATCAGAGAGCCCTGAACTCTGATGTCCTGTTGGTCCTGATCTTGACTCTACCTCTCTCCTTGAGGGAACTGGTATTCTATGGCTAGGACAGACTGGAATCTGAGACTGGGCACATCTGGGGCTCCAATCCACATGAAGGGAGAGAATACAAGATAAGAAGCAAGTATAAATTGCCATGTCCAGAACAAAATCAAAGCCAGACTTTCTGGGGTGGAAGGTGCAGGAGAAACTTGTAAAGGGGAGGCCAAACCTAGAGCTGACCCTCATATTCATGGATTTGCCTTTGTGTTTTCTCGTTGGTTTTCCTGCCACCACCATTTTGGCCACACGGGGGCACTGCTTACCCTTGCTATTCTCTTAACTCCTTCTAAGGAGTCTGCCTCAAGACTGGAAAGTTCGAATAGCACCTTAGCAAATGCCGAGATGACGTGTAAACTAAAAGCAACATGGGTTATAAGCATGGCCATGAAGATGCAGAGATCACAGGGTCCAGAGAAAAGGTGAAGCTTGCTTTAAGACTCCTGTAGTCCATATGAAGATTCTGCTGCTTCAATCAAATCCAAAAGTGTAAAAGAAGCCCAGCAGACAGTGATTAAGGGACCAGACCCTGGAACCAGACTGTGCGTGAGGGTTCATGCCCCAGCTCTGATAGTTGTGTGACCCTTGGCAAACACCTTATCTCTGGGGACCTCAATTCCTCATCACAAGGATGATACCAATGCGCACAGGATGAGGTTGTTACAGAGATTAAGTGAGCTCATCTATGTAAAGCACTCACAAGTCTTCGTCTCACAGCAGGTGCTAAGTAAGCTATTTTATTATGATTATTATGATTATTATTGTTATTGTTATTGTTATTATTACGAAGGACATGCTAGGGGAGAAAAGAAATGGAACACCCCTGTAGATATGCAAGAAATGAGGTAAGAAGGGAGTACTCAGAGGAATGAAGGGAGAGTGAAAAATTAAATATGGGGTGGGGAGGGGGCCAGAGAGAAGCCCTTCAGGTAAGTGAGACAGGCAGGGAAAGAGAGAATATGCCCTTCGCCCCCAGCAAGAGCTCCACACTTTAGAGAACTTGGCTCTAGCTCTGCTGGGGACTCCCACCTTCCCACTGGATGGAAAATCCTGGGGTCCCAGGGATGTGCTCTCTCAGCAGTGTCCCTCCTGCTGGCTGCTAAAGACTCTGGAATTCTCTGTCCAGATGCTGCGGGGAGCTGTCCTCTTCTGGTCACATCCTTCCAAGGGCGGACAGACCCCCAGGAGAGCCCACCCTTAGGGTGTGGTGTGGACAGAGCTTTAACGCGGGGGCCCAGGTGTCTACTGTGCGTTTTGGAGGCCACCATAATGCTGCTTGGGGCTGGCAACTGGAGAGAGTGGGGCGGGGGTTGGGGATCCCTGTGGAAGGGAGGTGTCTCTGGGTGGGAGGAGGACGGTCGGAGGACGGTCTTCCCCTCCCTTTGAGGTCCTGCCTGATAACCGCTCTGCGCTGACCACAGGACCATGTTCCTCCACGGGCAATGTCCCAGTCGAGTCTGGGTCCCCAGAGCTCCCCCGTTAACCCAGTTGCGACCCTGAAAGCACCGGACCTCAATTCCCCTTGGTGGAACTCGGGAACACGAAGGGAAATGAATGCGGAGAAAACCGGGATCCAGGTAGTCTGATTTCCAAAGAGCCGTTCCCTCGCTGCGGCTGGGAGTTCCGCCCAGGTGTCCGCGGGTCCAGGTGTGGCGGCCGCCCCCACCCCCCGCCTTGGGAGGCGCTGGGACCTGGCTCGGGCCCGCCTGCCCGCGCTGACAGGGACTGGCGGCTTTCGACACTTGGCTCTTTGGAGGCGCGGTGTGGGGAGCCCCTGGGCTGCAGGGTCCCCGCGAGCCGAGCCGAGCCGGGTCGCCGAGGGGGAGGAACCGACGCCCCGCTTTCGGGACATCGCCGGCCACTTCGTCCCGCGCGAAGGCGAGGAAAGGAGGAGGGATAGGAGGGCGCGGTGGAGGCAGCGACGAGGGGCCTGGCTTGATGCCTTTGGGGGCACCCGGGGAGAGGGCTGGTAATATTAGGTGATGCCTGGGGAAGGGGGACCCAAGCCCGGGCCCAGAATTCTCCCCCGCCCCGCTGCGGGGCTCCAGGCTGGCTATTGAGGCGCCTCCCGCGGACCTCGCGGGATCCCAGGGCGGGGTTTCCTCCAGCCGCTGCTCAGGAATGGGGGGGTCCTCCAACCTGGAGAGGAGAACAAGATCCAGCGAGCCCCGCAGAGTAGCAAAGGAGGCCCCTTCCCAAATGCAACGCAGAGAGGGCTTGCTCTCTGCACGGAGTCAGACAGATCCTGGATTTGACGCTATCTTGAAATGAACGTATTACCCACACTAATAGAAGACCATGTTTTACTTGGCTACATTTACCCAGTAAGAGCCGTACAGTTTAGCTGAAAGATAGTGGAATATGTAGCTAATAGTCCAGGATTCGGGTTTTGGCACCTTTTCTTATAACATATGTGCAGTTTAAGTCTGTGAGCCTTGTTTTGACAGTGATGATGATGAGGATTAATAATAGTTATCAGTAATAGTATATAGCAGCTCCTTTTATTGAGCACTTACTGTGGACCAAGCTCTGTGTTGAGCACTTTACAAACACTAATTTTTTCACTGAACTCTTAAAATATCCCTATAAGATTTATTCAGGGACTTTTAGCTTTTTTTTAAAAAAAGTCATCTTTTCATCATGTGATATATATTATACACCATTATATATGCATATGTACATACATTTGGTTGGTATTTCATGATGATTGTGGAAACCCCACAGCTTAGAGCTCAGCTTCCCATTGTCTCACTTGGGGAGGCAGCAGGGTGCCACAGAAAGAACTTTAGAGTCAGACAGACCTAGTCAATCAGCCCCTCTGAGATTGTTTCAACACCTATAAAGCGAGTTGAATGTGGCTCCAATGTGAATTGGGGAACTTTCAAAAAATTTTCTTCTTAACAGACTGGGGCCTGGCCTCAAGGCTGTTTTGGTTAATATTCCTTCCCCTCCATCCTTTATACTGGACATCAGTACAGTCTCCATCATCCTGAACCCCCTGTCTAAAGATCTTAGGAGGGATTGTTTTTCTTAAGATGATCTGGAAGCCTGCAATGCAGGGTGTCAATTTCTTCTGGGGAAGCCTCTTGTCTTCAAGATAAAATGATATCTAGTCACCGAGGAACAGTTTAAAGATATTTTCAAATAAAGCAGAGAAGTTCTAATAATATTAGCAGTATGAAGATAAGTTAGAGCAATAAAGGCCTTTTTTGGAAGCACCAGCATAGAAAATAAAGTCTCTGAGGAAGTGACTAGACATAGAGATGCAATCACGAGGCTTGAAGAATCAACCAAATGCAAGTAGAAAATCTGCAGATTAAAAACACAGGAAAAGAGAGAGAAGAAGATACCAGGAGAAAGAGATTGGAAATAGCTCAACATTTGACAAGGTCTTTTGTAAAACACGAAGAGGAGAAAGAGTCCTGAATGAAGCAAACCAGAGCTAGAGAAGCTTAAAGCTGGATTTTCTTTTGTTCAGAAAATGTAAGCTTGACTTCAAAAAGACAGATGATGGATGTCTCTCAGAGACAATCGCTAACAGTGCTTGAATCTGATGAAGAACAACTGATACGGAAATTGAGCAATGAGGTTGTTGGTGGGCGTTGTGAGTCAGAACAGCAAATACAACAGCAGGAAACTTGTCAGGTTCTCTTTCCCCATGCAAGTGCCCAAGCTTTGATTCAAATTAATCTTGGCATTTCAGCAACATTTAGAGGTATTTTATGAGCCAGAGCAAAAAGTGAGGGATCTGAGAAAAAAGATGATTTGGGGGAAAAAAAGAGCAGATGCTCATGACAAATGTTGATGAGGATGTTAAGAAATTGGAACCCTTATACATTACTGATCAGATTGTAAAATGGTGCAACCATTTGGAAAACAGATTTTTGGTGTCTTGGAAAGTTAAATATTGAGTTGCTATGTGATCCAGCAATTTTACTCATAGGCACATACCCAAGATAATTAAAAACATATGTCCACACAAAAACTTGCACATAAATATTCATAGCAGCACTATTCCTAATAATCAAAAGGTAGAAACAACCTAAATGTCCATCAATGAATGAGTGGATAAACAAAATGTGGCATATCTATACAATGAAATATTATTTGGCAATAAAAATGAATGAAGTACTGAATATGCTACAACAGGAATAAGCCTTGAAAACATAAGTAAAAGAAGTCAGGCACAAAAGGCCACCTATTGTATGATTCCATTTATACGAAGAGTCCAGAATAGGCAAATCTAGAGAGACAAAGAGTAGTAAAATATACTGCTGGGCCATGGCAGGCCCTGAAGCAAAACTCATTTTTCTTTGTAACTCAGATACTCTTTGGGAGAGGCTTTGGGTAAGATAAGTTCTGAAGACAAGAGCAGCCTCTGGGGACCGAGCTGTTCCCCGGGACATGGCAGTTACAATGACTCTTCACAAGATTTGATCCAATTCATCTTAGCCCTCAAAGGGAGGAATGGGTGTGTTGAACATTCATAACATTTTTAGTTTGTGTTCTTTTTCATCAAAGCTTATTTCCAGAAAGAGAGAGAAGTCAGCACATAGGCAGGTCCTCTCAGTTTTTGATAGTTTCTGGAACTCTGCCCACTCAGGGATGGACATATCATTTGTGTACTCATTGTTCATGCTACTCCAGCACCCACACATATAATTTCCATGAGAGCTGGGACTTTGTCTATTTTGTTCACAGCTATATACAGAGCACTGACTGGCATGTAAGAGGTACTCAACATTCATTTTTAAACCTAGAGGTTGATTATATAGGCCCATTTTGTGGTTCCCAAAAGACACACATTATTTTGCATGCAGATTTATTTTTTTAACTGTATCTTCAAATATACAGTAAAGGTCTTACATCATGAAAGGGTCATGGGTACTATTGTGACTATCAAGATGTGTAGGGTTGAGGCCTGGGCTGGGATTTGGATCCTGTGGAATAAGAACATCTATCTGTGGGAATCCATCTGAGGCTATTGGCCAGCAGCCCAGAGCCACAATTTCAAAATAAAGAAGGAACACAAGAAATACCCTCATACATTTGTATAACCATGTGCTGTTATCAGTCAGATTAGAATCAGTGCTCAAAGGTAAAGATAAATGAATCTCCACTAAACATCATCCTTATTTTCTAATCAGATAAGGAAAAATCACTGGCCAAGGAGTGATATTCTAGGGCCACCTCCACATTGCTGAGTGACACCAAGCAAATTCTAGAACTTTGGGAATCCTTAACGCCCCCCATGTCCCCTGCCTCCCTCTCTCCCATTGTTAGTAAGGGGTTAATGATGCCTTCCTTCACCCTAGAATTCGAAGAGCTCTAGTAAGAGTTCCTTTCTAGAATTGAAAGATCTGAATCAACATGAGACACCACCATTGCATGGGACTGAGATGGGATGTATTCAGTTTAAGGCCAGCATTTGCAGGGATCCCCTATATGTTGAAGTAGACCCTGCTTATAGGAAGACCAACGTGACCTACTCAAGGTGCCTTTTGGTCTGTTTTTTAGGCCATTCTTGCATTGCTACAAAGAAACACCTAAGGCTGAGTAATTTATAAGGAAAAGAGGTTTAATTGGCTCAAAGTTCTGCAGGCTGTACTGGAAGTATGGTGCCAGGCATCTGCTTGGCTTCTGATGAGGTCTCAGAAAGCTTACAGTCATGCTGGAAGGCAAAGGGGGTGCTAGCACGTCACATGGTGAAAGCAGGAGAAAGAGAGA